ACTCGTCGTTCCTATACGGCTAAATGGAGAAGATTCTCCTCTTTTGCAGAGTGCCATTCGTTCTTCCCTGCGACGGCTTCAGTCACCAATATCTAACAATTTCTTTTACATTTGCATCATGAGGGACTTAAACTGTCATCCATCAAAGTTTATGCAGCCGCTATATCCCATTATCCTGGCACTATACACGGGTTATCAGTCTTCTCACAACCGCTGGTTTGGTGCTTCATTAAGGGACTACAAAATTTACATCCGTCTATTCGCCCTGCCATGCCGACATGGAGTCTTTCTGTAGTACTCCAAGCACTTACCAAACCACCGTTTGAGCCTTTAGCAACTGCGGACTTACGCCTGGTGTCATGGAAAACTGCCTTTCTAGTAGCGGTTACATCAGCACGAAGAGCTAGCGAACTTTGTGCTCTCCGCATAGACCCACCATTTCTGAACTTCCATAAGGAAAAAGTTGTCCTTCGGATGGATTTTTCCTTTACCCAAGGTGGCCGTATCATTCCACCTGAATCAGGGTATCGTTCTACCGGCTTTCTTTCCGTCGTTGTCGACCCCTATAGAACGTGCTCTACACATGCTTGATGTTCGCCACTGCTTGGCTTTTTATAGATCCCGCACTGAATCTTTTCATACTACTAACAGACTTTTTGTTAAATACTCCAAGCAAAAAAAGGGATCACCGATATCATCTCAGAGATTCTCTAATTGGATCACCCAGACAATTGTCCTGGCTTATCAGCTATCAAAAATAGACTTACCTGTCTCTCCAATTGGCCATTCTACACGAGCAGTAGCGACCTCATCCGCTTTTGCCGCAGGGGTTCCGTTGCAGGACATCTGCAGAGCTGCGATCTGGGCTGGTCCATGTACTTTTCCCAAGCATTATCGGCTTGATGTACGTGCCAGATGGGACTGCTCTTTTGGTAGAGCTGTTCTCTCATCCGTTCTTCGATGATGACACCTCCCTCCGCCGAGTCTGGTAAGCTTGCGAATCACCCATATGTGTGATGCACAGAGGCCACGACGAAGAAAAGCAGGTTGCTTACCTGTAACTGATGTTCTTCGAGTGGCCATCTGTGCGTTCACACAACCCACCCGCCGGCCCCACTCAGTGTCGGTGAGTGGATATCATGTTTTTTCTCAGTACCATACTATAATTTGCATTGGTACCATTTGGATTATGTCGCTGGGTGGTTTTTTTTTCGGTACCGAAATATTAATGGCATTGGTACCGGAGGGTTATATCACTGACTAGAGATTGTTCTCAGTACCGTACTATAATTCACATCGGTACCGTGGGAATATAATTGTGTCATCTCATTACTTTATTTTTAACCTCTAGAGGGCGAACGTGCGGTCTTCAAGACTGAGCAAAAATGGCGGACACTCCGCTCTATTTATACCACAAAGGGGGAGGGGAGCGAAGTTTTCCCGCCAAAAACTGTTAGCTTTCTAATCTTCCAGCCTAGGCACTGCGCAGGCGCAGCAACCCATATGTGTGAATGCACAGATGGCCACTCGAAGAACATCAGTTACAGGTAAGCAACCTGCTTTTTTAATGGATATACATTGCCTCTAGTAGCAGAGGATGCATTCAAGTTGCTGGAGAACTTAGACAGGTGGGCATTGCATTTCTCCTGCCCTGCAAAACCTCGTAGATGACTGATTTCACCTAACTGATGATTTGGAATGGAATGGAAGGTGGCTGGGCACCCTTAGGTATGCTGCATTTTGGTGGTGCCAGTCTCCTCACCTCCCCACCCACAGAATGCCCACTAAACCCCTTCTCTAATGTCACGTTTGTGACTTTTGTGAGACATAGCTAATGTGGTTCTTTCCATGCTGGCTGTGTGAGGTGGAGAAGGTGCCCGGAGAGCAAGTTCCATATGCAGAGCAATTTCTAACCTCAGAGGTGGGAATCAAAACAATCATATGGCTCCCTTGGTATTGTCTGTGTGCTATAGGATTGCTCTGTTAACTGTTTTGAGCAGCCATGTTAAAAAACTATGAATCATGGTTCAAATAATTCATGATGGGTAGTTGCCTTTACAAAAAGAGACTTAATTGTCTGTTTTATTGTACAGAAGTTCATACACATTCTAAACTTATTTCCCTTCCTAGGCTTTATTTTTTAAGACATATGTTTGGAAATATATGTTCAGAGGAGTCAGTGTATTTCTGTGACTTAGCCCACCTCCCCACCATATCTTTATGATAATTCATTGCCAAGGAAATACTATGTTACAAAGAATTTTATCTTCAGAAGTGGTATGAAGTGCAAAAACAGCTGTCCTCTCCAAAGCCAGAGATCATGTACACCAGGCTGAGCAGTTGTGACATATTTTACAGTTTCTTTTGCATCAAATGCCAGGGTACCTCAGGCCCACAATGGTTCTTAAAATAGTTGTTTACATTTTATTGTTCAGTGAATCAAAATTCCTTTTATTCTGGAATCTGCTTATATATCCCATTTAGCTTCTCTTCTCATTGTGGATTGGAATAAGAGAAAAAGAAAAAAAGGGGATACTGAGCCATCAAAATTGAACAAGAGAATTTAAGACAGTGAGTCCAGAATGGGATACAATGTACTTTTTTATTAATTGAACTGGTTTTTGCAGCTGCTTATTTTTTACAGTTATTATTATTTCAATTTCTGTACCACCCAATATCTGAAACTCTGGGTGGGTCACATCAATACACAAAAATTACATGTCCCAGCATTATACAATATTACATGATACAATATTATAATAAAACAAAGCATAAATTTTGATGCACAAAAATGAAAAACAACTTAAGCAGCTAAAAACTATTTCAGTAAACAATACTACACCTGTTTTAACTGTGATCACTGCTATTTGTATTTTTATTGCTTTTATTTGTATTGATAAATTACTGGATTGTTTTATGATTTTCCCTCTTCTGGAGATTTCAAATAGAGCAGTTAAAAAGAAAAAGATAAAGCATTTATACTTTAAATGAGTAACATCCAGCTGGCTAACAATAGGCTAGATACAATCCATTCCTTGTTTTTATCCATTAAAACAGGGGTTCCTAATCTATTTGGACCCATGGGCACATCTGGGAATTTGAGAAACTGCTGTGTCTCCACTAGACAATGCCGTATGAGTGGCACTTTCTTACCACGTCTTTAGAACTTAGACTGTGTCGTATTCAGCAAAACCCTTTGTTTCATGACTATTGGATACTACAATATCCCTTTATAAAGGATTTATCTAATGCAGCTAATAGCTACTGGTACGATACATCTAAAGCTTCATTTAAACATTTCAGCAATCTCCAGTGGCAACTTCTCTAGAGAAAGGGGTTAGGGGTTATCTAATAGTCAGATAAATTTTGTATTGGAAGAGAAGTACATACTTTAAAAAAATATTTACCAATATATGGAAAATAACAGATGGAAGGGGAAATAGATTCTCATCATACTTTTGGCAGTGAAAAGTCTGATATTGGGAAACTGGAAGGAAAAACACTCACTTCCTATAATGCAGTGGATTGAGGACCTTACAGCACTTTCCTTATGTGAATGGGTTGCATATAGATAGCGACTTCAAATGGACATCTTTTTGTTGGCGCCTATGTACAGAAGACTGAATGCATTTCATATAAATCCATGCACATATATTAAAACTTTTTAAATTACATTCTCTGCAACCTCTGCACCAAAACAAAGCTCTCTTTGGTATGGTTGGCTTTCACTTCAGTATGGGCTCTTATATGGACAGGATGTGGGCTGCAAATTAAATTGATGGGTTTTTTAAAGTTTTTGATTGTTTAAAAAGGTTCCCTGTCCTGATTGATTCAGCACAATGTTTTTTTGGAGATGCTTAAGTATTTGTAATGCAAGCATTTACAAACCCATAGATGATTAGTGCCTTTTTAAAAGAGATATCCCCACTTTTTCTCTCTCACAAGGTAATGCCTCATCTGAGATTATGCCTGCTCTTATCAATGTATAAATACTTTTAAAACATAGGCATTGCTCATATGCAACAATGACAGTGAAGCTGCAGTCCTCTACCCTCTCACCTGGGAAGAAGACCCACTGATACAGTAAAAGATATTGTTGCATAGACATGCATAGGATTGTGTTCTAATCCTCCTTTCTTCAATGCACAGAGATGCAACAATATTAGACACAAATCAATGTCTAATTATTTTGTATGAAAAACTCCCTGAACCCTATGTATACACCTATGATGGTCTCCACATATACCTCCAATTGCATGATCAAGCAAAAAAAAAAGATAATGCTTGCTTAAATACAACTTGTTAGTTGCAGAAACCTTAAAGGAATGAACATCCCAAAAGATTTAGCTTCCTAATAGGCATGGGATTAGTGTTGATGCCATCCTTGGTTGAGTCCTGTACCAAGATAGCTTGCTTGTGATATCAAGAGGGATAGGCTCAGAACTGATGCGCCTGCTAGGAGTGACACCAAGCAAAGTGGTCATTATGGTCAAAGAACAGCAGGAAATCACAGCATTGATGTGCTTCACATAATTTTTGTTGGACTGTCCAACTCATGTTGTTGCGAAATGTGGTAATTGCTCAAATTGTGTAGCAGGTGCTATGTATGCAGGTTGTACAGAAAATTCACAAAACCCATTACTAGTATCAAATGCTACCTAAAATTTGAATCCTTTATTGTTTCAACAACTTTCTTTGCTTTTACATGGATGCCAGGCCTTTAGTTTGCTGTAAGTATGAGTTAAATAAGGAAGAAAATGTTTAAAAAGCCTGTCACATAGATCTTTTCTGTACTTACATCCTTATACTGCATGTGCCTCATGCTCCTAGAAAATCAAATTGTTTCCCTTCAGATCTCCTTCATCCTCATGGTCATTTGTCAGTTTGTCAGTTGTGTTTTTTTCTCAAATTTAACTATATTTGTTTTCATGATACTGGGGTTCTTGGGAAGAAACCTTGTTCCTGGGAGAAAAAACATTATTTGTTTTTGTGTGCTGCAGTGTAAGTCATGCTCTGAGCCAAAACAGATAACCAGCTCTTCTGCTATATACAACAACCCCAACTTGATCAAACCAATTCCAGTGAAGCCTAACGAAACTCAGCACCAAAGTGCATCTCAACAAGTCCAGGTAAACTAGTGCATTTTCAATTATGTCTCATATTACTGTGAGAGAGTCTGCGTGGGAACTGTTCAGCTCAATGAGAAAAGGGTTACTTTCATGGTTAACCTACATCTGTTGCTGTGAATAGTTCTATTTTTCACATCAGTTTTGACAGCAGCTTCCTATCCCCTAGTGATAAGGAGTAACTTTGCCACAGATACTCTTGTTGCTGTTTCAGCTTGAATGAATAGCCCCTCTTTTGTGTAACCATCCATCCCCTTTGAAAATAGGAAGGAATATCTGCAACTTTTGGGCAGACAGCCAAAATCAACAAACTTCTGGGGGCAAGGCAGCACACCTTTAAAGACAAAATAGCTAAGGCTTTCTTTCCTTCCTTCCTTCCTTCCTTCCTTCCTTCCTTCCTTCCTTCCTTCCTTCCTTTAAACAAGAAAATGGTGGTCATTGCTTCAGGTGGTGACTTGGCCAATCTTAGCATCATCACAACTTTCCCTGTGAAACATGCATCAGACTGCACATGGGAATGATGCTATGTCATGATGTAGCATCATTCTTGGGGCAAAATACTTGGCCTCCTCTATCAGCCAAGGGGAGCAGTCATCTTTTCCTCCAAGAATTCCTTTTTCTCAAGAATGTTAATGCAGCTTTACAGAAAAAAAGAAATAAATCATCCCCATCCACCATTCCCAGTACTACTGTCACAGTCAACAGTATATGCAAGCCAACTGCACACCCAGTGTGCTCAGGGACTGTGCAGGGTTGCCATGCACTAATCTATTTCAACTCCAGTTCCCAGCAGAATAGGAATAACAACACTGAAATGCTTTGCACAGCTTACATAACTTTTGCTATCTCAGGCACGGCACCATTTTTACTATGTTTTTTGCACTGGCAGAGAAATTTTTAATTTTTTAAACCAACTCAGGATGATGACGATGGTGATGATGATTTGCCTTGAAATAACACTAAGATAGAAAATTCATGCGTTTCTGTCTTTGTTGCTTCTGTTACTACCTTTTGTTTGGAGTTGGATTAGCTACTGCTTAATTAAAGTTCCATTAAATAGCAAGATTATTCTCAATTGTTTTCTATGGGGAAATCACTTGCCCTCAAAGGTCAAAACAATGAATTCAGAATGACCAAGGAAATCTTTCTCCAGACAATGACTCTCCATGCTATACTTAAAAAAAATAAAATCTGTACTTAATGCTGCTCCCCAAAATGTCAGTCATTGCGGTGTTGCACTATTAGCTAAAGACAGTATAAGAAGGCTGTAGGCTTATTTCACTCAAAAACAATCAGTGCCTGTGTATTTTGCCTTGTAATACTGGTACTACAAAGACTAGAGATTTGCTTACTTTTTAATTAAGAAAATGGGGAATCCTTCCAGACAATGATAGAGATGGGCACTGTGGAACCCTATATCCCTGTTGGCCTGAAATGTGGCAATCTTAAATGTACCTAATGCTTTCAGCATTAAATTCTACCTTGCACTGCAGCAGAAAAAGAGCATGCATACAGTTAATTACAGCAGTAGTAGATATTTTGAGAAAGTATCCTTCTCAGCTTAGACAATCGGTTTTGGAAAGCTTACTTGGATACCATTTTCTGGAAGATGCCAGATGGTTTTTTCAGGGTTTTACTAAGTTATTGCTTTTATAGAAGGTACAAAAATGGATGTTGAATATCTGCCAGAAGTATATTAAATAATGTAGTCACTGTTGCCAAGTTTTTAAGAGCATTTCTTCAGGTGATAAAATCCAGGCACAACTCTCTAGGTCTCAGGGCCACTAATTTGAGAGTGACACAATTTACATGACTGTATTTAAAGCTCTACTGGATATCTATGGTTTATAGCCTTCAAGCCCAAAGTATTAATATGACAAGCTTCAGTTGATTTTTTTCTCCAGTGTTGGTAATAGCACTCTCTTCTTTAAACTTGTCCTTTTCATAACAACATAAGAGAAGCCATGCTGGATCAGACCAAGCTTCCAGCACTCCATGCACCTGGTTACAAATCAGCTGCCCAGAGGATTCCTCAAACAGGATGGGTCCTCAACAACTGGCACATGCAGGAATGCCACCTCTGATAAAGGAGGTAGCACATAGCCAGCAAGACTAGTAGCTACTTATAGGCTCCTCCTCCATCAGTCTTTCCAACTCTTGTTTAAAGCTATTCAGATCGGTGGCCATCACAACTTCCTGTGCCAGCAAATTGCCAGTCTAACTATATGCTGTGTGAAGAAGTACTTTTATCTGTCTTAAACCTCCTACCAGTCAGCTTCATGAGATGACCCCATGTTTAAATGTTATCTCTCTTTAAATATATCTCTACTTTCTCCACAATATGCATTATTTTAAACACATCTATTATGTCTCCCTTTACTGTTTTTCTAAGCTGAACAGTCCCACTTGTTGTAGCCACTTCTCGTAGGGGAGCTACTCCCTGATAATTTTCTGTTATCCTTTTCTGTACTTACTCCAATTCAATAACATCCTTTTTCAGGCAAGGGAACTAGAACTGAAAACAATATTCCAAATGCAGTTGCACCAAAGATTTGGATAAGGGAAGTAAGATTTTGGCAGTTCGGTTTTCTGTTCTAGTCTAATTTAATAATGATAAATAAATTCTGTCCCTAATTATTCCTAGCATAGAATTTGCCTTCTTCACAGCAGCTGAGTACTAGATCAACATTTTCATTGATCCCTTTCATTCTTAGGAACTTTCAGTACTTACTACAATGGAATTTTAATAGGCTTTATAACCTGTTGAAAATGGTACAAAATTAATGGGGGTGGAATTGTGGAGATTCTGTATCAAATCAGGTGTTTACTGCAGAGGGCTTTGTCATAAGCTTGATGGAAGCTGAAGATGTACATTTTGGTTCCAGCCCTTTCACTCCCAACCAGACTGTGTTGGTGAGGAAGTTCTGTCAAGGGAGTGGAAGCAGATTCTGCAGAATACACTTGCTCTGCTCTCTTCAACATGAACCCAAGGGTAGTACATCCACTCTCCTTGCAGACTTTTTGTTTCCATTTGGGGAGGTCAGGAATAGAAGGCCAAGGCTGGAACATTTCTTTCTAGTTCCCTCCATACTTACAGCAAAACCCTGTTAGATCAGAGCTATGTAGCCTGGTGGACAGCCAACCTCTTCCCTGCCTGAAAAGCTGCTAGGTGACCAACTGCTGTCCAGTTGACTTGCAAGGTGTGAGGAGTCATCCCAATTGAATTGCACCCACAGTGTTTTAAAATACAAGCCTACATATCCATACACTGAGTAACAATACACAATGGAAAACATATTTCAGTGTATACTTATGGAGTGCCTGTAGATTTTCTTTTCAGAGTCTTTTTTGGATCTGTGTAAGAATTTAAATCCTTGGTGAAATTTGTTGCACTTGGAATGCCATGTTGCCTTGTCCAAACCTCCTTGTTTATTTGGCAATATTAAGAATATTTCCAGTCATTGAAATTCTCTACAGAAATATGCAGATTTTACTGTATATGCCTTTTAATTAGAAACCTAGCTATTTAGAAAGCATACAACTCTTACCACACAAATGCCGCACAAACTGTTATAAAAACCAGGCCATCTGTAGTTCAGCTTCTCCTTCACAGCCCAGCAACAGAATTAATAACCTATCTCAGATTAGTGCAAATTAAGCTGCTAACTGAATATTTATTTTTGCTTTGTAAGGAGCAATTGTCTATCAAAATGATTCTAGACAAACAGAAAAGGCAGTCACAGAAGGCTGAATTCAACGCAGCCCTCGATATTTTAGCAAGTAAGACAAAGCACATTCTCTCTGCTTGTGTAAAGATGTTTCCAAGCCATTGAACTGAAGTTTCCTATACCAGGTTAATGCTTATTTAGTGAGAAAGATCAGCAAAAAGACAGCTAAGTTCTGCCATATTAAGTGATCTTCTGCATATCTCTGGTACCTTCAGTTATCTCTAGATAGATACACTGAGCAAAATCACCAGCAGCTTGTGATGATGGTTTGCTGAAGGTTTTCAAAAAGGCTTCTGCTGCTGATGAATGGTCATTAAATATGTGAGGGATCCAGTGCCCTTAGTGAGAAAATCATGAAGTAATGACAGAACTAGGAGCTATTCACTCAGCTCTGTGCAAGTGTGTGGCTCCTGAACGGCTAAGAATAGGTCCTAGAAAAGCTGGAAGCATATGCAACTTTGCCACTTAACATACCAAAACCCCAGCCACTGCCTCTGTTCTATTAAACACTGTCAAGCAGGTACAATTTGTGATGAAGAACCATCACACAGGAGCAATTGTCTCCTTTCTGCCCCATCCTTCCTGCAACTATCCTCTCTGACCACCTTTTGATCCCCTCAGGGTTCCACAACCATGTTTCACCACAAACAGACTATGATTGCACCAATTGCTTGTTGAAGATCCATTTGTTTAGCTCTTGGAGAATGGACAATGGTATCAGCTGTTCTATCCTAATGATCTGATGCTGTTAGGAAAGCCATATTTTGCTTCATCATTTTGAGTTAAGTAGATGTGCTTTTCTCCCCTACAGAACATAGACCCCGAACCACAACATCTTTCTCTAACAGCACTCTTTGGAAAGCAGGAAAAATCTAGTATATACCAAGATACCTCAGAGCAGTCACAGAAACTTCATCAAGAAAACTTTCCTCTAAGACAAGGAGTTATGCGCTCTTTGTCCTATGAAGAACCTGGAAGACATTCACCCACAGTGGAGAAGCAGCTTTGTCCGGCCATTCAAAAACTCATGGTGCGTGGGGCAGAGCTTCACCCAGTCTGTGAAATCCCTGAGAACCGACTATGTGAAAATGGCAGCATCCCTTCTGTGGGAGAAGTTTTCACTGGACTCTTCCAGCCTGTGACTTCTCAGGGCATGAGGACATCTCATCCAGCCCAGGATTCAGCCAGCACGCAGAGCCTACTGCAGCAACTGCAAAGTCAGTCAGTACAAATGACAAAAATGGAACCCAGCAATGTAGGGGCAGCAAGTTCAGTTGCATCAGTCTTCACCACAACTCCTTCTGCCTCCTCAGTGGCCCAAGTCAAGAACATCACCCAACCACATATGATGTGTTTTAATGGATCCCTCCCAGGCCAAACTTTGGGGCCTTCAGCTCTTAGTAAAGAACAGCCCAAACTTCCTGGGCAGTCACTTCCTCTTTCTGGGAACCAGCCTGGCAATTCTGGAGTAATTTCACCACAGGAATTACTAAAGAAGCTCCAGATAGTGCAACAGGAGCAACAGTTGCATGTATCCAGTCGGCCAACCTTGGCAGCTAAGTTCCCTGTGGTTACTCACAGCACAGCTGCTTTGAAACCTTTGGATTCCTGGATGGACAAGCCTTCAAACACAGAAAAGCAGCCTCCTCTTTTTCAGGTAAACCAACAATAGATTTAATAGAATGTAGAATTTGAGTGCCTCGATCAGCAGCCTGTTTTTTGGTCTACATTCAGTATTTGAAACAAGACACATATTTCTTGTTCAATAGTGAGACAGTAGGTTAGATATTGGCCATTGCTATTGATCTGTGAATCCTTCTCCCCAGCTCATCTCAACAATCATTTGGGCTAAGCTTTATTTTTTTTTTTAAGGATTCATAAGGAAGATCTGAAAAATTCTGTGATGCAGAGAAGGCTTGCAGGCAAGCACCTGCCTGCCTGAATATAAGCTGGAGAATGAAGTTCCTAATAATGTTACAAAGAAAACTACAAAGCATTGATGGCAGCAGGAATTGATGGTCCTGAGATTCTCGGCAGCAGCAGCAGCATTCTAAGCTTAGGGTCAAACAGGCAATGGTCTTTTTGCCTTTTCTGCTGTGGTTCCTTCCACTTCCATTCAAGTAAAGCTGTGTGTTTGCTTGCTCAAGAAAATGCAGTGTGAACTGTCAGTATAAGGCTATTAGGAGTGAGGGCATTAGGTGAACACCATGTCAAGTTAGTGCCTGATTTAAAAGATTTGGAGCTCTTGAAAGAAATGGGGCATGACTTCTCATTTGGAAGAAACACCTATTTTGGGCCTGTACCTTAACTGTATCCTTAGTCCATCCCAAACATTCGCAGAGCTAAGGTGAGTTGCTGTTCCCCTTGATCCCTTTCTGACTTGTCATATATGTCACTTCTCAGCCTTCTGCCCACCATATGTTTAAGACAACTGCCATCATCCCTCATCATTGGCCTTGTTGGCTGGAGCTGGTGGGAGTTGTAAAGCTGGGGAAAGAAGAGATGTGCATAAAGGCTATTAAGCATAACCAGTCAAATGGTTTCTTTCTCTTGCTTCAGTGAGTTTCCAGTTTAGGAACTGGCAATTACCACCTTCATGCACCTGGTTTTCATGCCCACAGGCACTCCAGTGTGTCAGTCAAGATCTTGTATGTACAAAAGTTTCCCCATTCACTTCAAAGTCAGGGATGCTCTACATGTGCATCTCCCTGCAGGCATGGTACCTCATTTGTCATTGAAATAAACACAAAACCCTCATATGGGAGAATTCTGTGTGTATACTGGAGGCTGTTTGGCATACTGTTAGAGCCACTTCAGAGGTTGGCAAACTGGGTGATATGCACATATGGTAAGCATGTAGAGCTGATTCTTAGGATCATATGTGTTACCAATGCACATAGAATATAACACACTACTGGGGGTATTCTTGCATGAATAGATGAATGTTTCTCCCAATTTCTGTAATCTTTCTTCGTCTGGAAAGCAATGGAAGAAAAGCACTAACTTGTATGAATTGCACATAGATGCCTGGGTCACATGTTATTTCTAGCATGTAGTATCGGGACCCCACCCCACTGCATCAGGTATTGTCCCATCGATCGATTTCTATATAAAATTTAATGGCACAAGGTAGTAAGCAGAGGTACAATGGTGATAAACATTAAAAGTAAAAATGGCCTGTTCACATAACTGTTTAACACTACTAGCTCACGAATCATAAGCAAATCCAGATTTTGGTATTCTTGTCGGTGTAAAATAGTTATGCTGACCCTTTGATTTAATAGCACTGGATTTTGTGGTTGGTTTATAACTGGCTATACAGTCTTCTTGGTTTATATACTTAGCTGTTGTCAAATTGCCTCCATGTAAACCTCTTTAAAGAGCATTTCTAAATTGTAATAGAATTGCTTTCCCTTTACAGCCTCCTCCCCCCAAAGTCAAATCACCTCTTTAATAATCCTTGGAAATCTCACACTTGAGTGAAAATGTGATTTGTGCAGCTGGAAGGATCTGGCTGCTTCTTTTGTCATGAAGTCTGCATTGCCCCAACTCCTCCCTAACTGCAACCAAGCATGCTGTAAAATAAAACTGGTAGTAAGGCTTATTGTTAAGCTCTATAATTTGAAATAATAGTATGAAAATGCATGAAATGTCAGTGTAAGGAAAGTTGATGACTCATACTCTCTGAGGAATTAAAAAAATGATGCTTAATGCTATTTGGATTAAAATCAGTTGGAAGAAGAACAGTTCAGGACAGGATTTCATAATCACTTCCTGATATGAAATTGTAGTGAACTTATCTGTGTTCTGTACAACATTAACAGCAAGGCCCATGCATAGAGCAAAACAGTTAAGTGTTTGATTGCACAGCTAGCCTGTGCCCACCATGTGATATGGAGGATCAGGCCTTGGAGGGGGTCTGTATATTAGGATCCCTAGCAGGGGGTCAGCAGAAGCAATTCACACCATATAAAGTTCCACTTAGTGGAGAATAGATTGTCCGGTAATGGGAGAAGTTCATTCTCACCAAAGTAGCATACTCGAATGTAGTATTTAACTTTTCCCATTAGAATCAGTAGGAGCCATTCATTTATACAGGATGAAATAGTTATATTCAAGGACACCAGGGAGTGGAAGTTAAACCTATCTGCCAGACATGGCTTATCACCTTGACAGTATCTTGAATACTAGGGGAAGAACTGAACCAGTATGTATATAAAGCACTCCTAAATTCCTTCAGTAACTGGAATCTGCAATATGCACTTCCCAGCAATAGTCATGACATATTATCAGTCTAGTTGGCTTGTGATGCATTGCCATATGGCTTAAAAATGGTAATCTGCAGTATGAGGTTCTCAGAAGAGAAAATGCTTGTTAACAAAGCAATTAGCAAACATAGAACATAGTTGTATATGAAACTACCCAGAAAACATAGAAACATGGCGAGTCAGAAGGGGCCTCTCAGGCCATCTAGTCTGACCCCCGATTCCAGGTGGCTCCATTCATGTAATACCTAGCACGTGCATTCAATCTTTCCTTGAACACCCTCACTGATGGGGGCTCCACCACCTCCCATGAAAGCCCATTCATTATCCTAGGGGTCCTAACCATCAGGAAGTACTTCCTGACATCGAACCTGAAACCTGGTTCCTTGGGTTTTGCCCCACTGGACTGCATCCTTTCCTCCACCGCAGGGGAGAACACCCCTTCACAAACATATATATCACCCTAAGATCCCCTCTGAGTCTCCTCTTTGCTGAGAAGACTCAGCTTCCTAAATCTCATCTCATATGGCACCCCTCCCAATCTGGTTACCATCATCGTGACTCTGTGCTGGATTGATTCTAACCTAGTTATGTCTCTCTTGTAAAGTAGAGCCCAGAACTGGACATAGTACTCCAGCTGTGTGCACACTGAAGTCTTTTAGAGTGGTACTAACACCTCTCTCAATCTGGAAGCCACATTCCTGGTTATATATCCAAGTGTGGTGTTTTCCTTCTTAACCGCCACATTCTGGTTCATTTTTAATCCACTGTTGACAAGAACCTTGAGATGCCTTTCACAAGTGCTGCTCTCCAGCCACTTGTCCCCCATCCTGTACCTATGGCACCTAGTCCTGAGTCCCAAGTGTAAGACCTTGCACTTACCTGCATTGAACACCATCCTGTGGTCCCCCACCCACTTCTACAATCTGTCCAGATTCTTTTGGATCTGGAGCACCCCCTTTCCAGTACTGGCTACCACCCCAACTTTTGAATCGTCTGCAAATTTGGTCAGTAGACTAGTTACCCTCTCCTCCAAGTCACTGATAAAGAGATTGAACAAAATTGGTCTGAGAACTGAGCCCTTGGGGACTCTGCTCCTCACCAGCTGCCATCCTGATGATTCTCCATCGATGATCACCCTGATCAAGCCTGAGCTGTTCAGATGCAGTTCAAACAGTGGGCCTTGGCAGTCTGTTTTATGAACAATGGTCTAAGGGAAAAATGGTCTTTTGCAAAAATATTAGGAGGCACATTTTTCAGAGTGGTGAGAAGGATTCCCCAAAGATGCATACAGGTAATTACAAAGGAGGGAACGAACAGAGCCATACTGGGGGAGGGAGAGATAATCAACCTGGAGCTTCTTGTTTTGATTCCTGTTTTTAAAAATTGAACCTGTATTTCAGCAATGCAGTTTAACATTTATATTTGGAAAGGAATGGGGAGGTTCATTCAGAGAGGTGAATGTAATTTGGATGTAGGATTATTGCTCATGGTTTGCTCATTTACCTTACAAAATCTGATAGTCCAAGAAAAGAATGTGGAGAGTTTTGCCTGTGCAGTTGTCTTACCTCCACTTTTCTTTTTGGGGCCACTTAGAACCCCTGAAAAGCTGCTTCTGGGAGTTGGGAAATCAAGCTGAAGTACTTGTCTCACACGCAAAGGGCTTTTTTGAGACAGGCCTCTGGCCCAGTTCACAAAAGAACAGCAACCCAGGGCTGCTGTTTTTTTAAAATCTGGATTTCAGTAAGTGAGCCAGTGTGCTTATACCATTCAGTTTCTCCTGTTTGTTCCTCAAGTAGGAGTGGCTTAACAACCCAGAGATATACCATGATGTTTAGCCTAATCTTGGCACTCCGGCTTGTCTGCCTGCCCTTTACAAGTGACAGCTGGAACCCTGGTAAGCCTTTTAGGCCTAGAGACAAACCAAAATACTAGGTTTGTACATCACTGTAAACAAATCAGTAACAGAGCATCTCTGGGTTGTTTTCCCACACCTGCTAGCAGCAAGAGCAACTGAAAAACATGAATTATCATGCTGTCTCATTCATGATGATGTAAGCCGCCCCGAGGCTTCGGCGAATGGGGCGGCATAAAAATGTTTTAATAAAATAAAATAAAAATAATAAAAATGATAACCTAAGGCTTAAAAAAACACCTGGATTGTTACATGTGAACCAGTCCTGTGACTGGATTAAAATGTAAGCTCCCCAATAGAAATAAATAAAGCTCCTTGGAACAAAAACAAGCTGTGTATAATGTTCCCTGTTCATTCCTTCTTTCCTCCTGTCATGTCTGGCTGAAGAGGAATTGTCCTGGATAATTAACATAAAAGAGTCTTGTAGGATCAAACAAAAAACCTGTCCAGTTCATCATCATGTTTCCCAGAGCTGACAATCAGATGCTTCTGGGACATACATTACTGATTTCATCTTAGTCTACAGGAAGTACTTAAACTAATATTACCTGTTTCAGGTGTCATATGAAAACTGGTTGAACAAATCAGGAAATCTGTTTTGCATTGGGAGGAAGGAATGCTCATATGTTAGATCAGGAATATTATGCATACACCTGGTCTATGTGTCAATATTGTTGGAAGTGATCCTTCCTTTCAAATTCTTACCTTTTTTAATTCTATTTTAACAAAAACAAAACTCATAGTTTGCACAATATAAAACAATACAAATAATAATAACCATAATTAAACAATACAATAATAATGGTGCTACTTTCCACCAAGACCAAAAGATACATTCTATTTAAGTAAAGTCGTTTATTCATTCAGGTTGCACCATTCCCACTCCCTTTCCAGAACTGCATTGAATCTTGTGATGGCTCACACCCCTTTCCCTTTATAGAATCATAGAATAGAGAAGAGTTAGAAGGGGCCATGAAGGCCATTGAGTCCAACCCCCTGCTGTTGCAGGACACCATGTTAAACCATCCCACTCAGATGGCTGTCCAATTTCTTTTTGAATGTCTAGTGTGGGAGAGCCCACCACCTCTTTAGGCAGCTGGTTCCACTGTTGTGTTGCTTTGACAGTGAGGAAGCTTTTCCTGATGTCCAGCCTGAATCTGGGTTGTTGCAGTTTGAATTGATTATTCCGTGTCCTACATTTTAGCATTAGCAAGAAGAGATCTTGACCTTCTTCTTTGTGACAGCCTTTGAGGTACTTATAGAGGGATAACATGTCCCCCCTCACTCTTCTCAAGGCTGAAGAGAAGACATATTAAAACATATAGAACAAATGGTCTCCAAACATCTTCAAAATTATTTTCACTTATCCAATCTTTTTTCCATTTAATATTGCAAGTTATCAAAATCTTTCCTGTCTCTTTAATACCTGTTGCCTCCAACCCAAGTTCTTACAATAACTTATTTTACTGTCTCCCTGTCTTCCTCTTAGATCTTTTTGACTATGGTAATGTGGTGCAATATACCATCTGCTGTCAAAAATGTGCCACAGTTTGTAATGTATGGTCACTGCCAAAGTATAAAACTGCATGTGACATATAGTTTACCCCAACCTTAGATAAAATTAATAAATGCTTTCTAATTAATTGCACTGCTTTGCAAAGGCCAGATTTAGCAGGTAGTTCTTTAATGAACCTTCTCTTCCTATTTGCTGACATCTATTTAATTTAGCTTGAAGGTTGTAATCTTAGACTGAATACTGAATGTGTTAGTGCAGTAGCCTTCCACCTGTTTGTAGCACAAGTCCTGCATAAAGCACCAGTCTCATGCACTCACTAAAAAGAAAAAATCAAGTTGGAGAAAATGAATCCCTTGAGTGAATCTGAATCCAGAAAGAATACTATACTTAGGAAAGTCTTTGTTTATTGAGTACATTTATATCCTGACTTTCTTCCATCAGAAAAGCTTCAGTGGTGTTGATTTATTTTCCTTAAGGTGATAAGTGCCTTCCCATCCATAAATAGCCACCACTGGAGCTATTTATTTTTATTAATACATTTATATCCAACTTTTCCTCTTGCAAGGAACGTAAGGCAGATTATATGGTCCTCTATCTGATCCTCAAAACAGTCCTGAAGAAATAGGTTGAACTGAGAATTAGTGATTGGATCAAAACCATCCAGTAGGCTTTATGACAAGTGGAAACTAGAACCTGGGTCTTTAATCACTACATTAATCTTTACATCACTACATTAATCACTACATCACATACTATCTCATCCTGAGATCCATTTTAAGCAACCTTGGGGCCTTTTTGCATTTGTGTTTTTAACTTGGATACATATAATAATTAAAAGTAATATACAATTCCTTGCATATTACAAGCAGGTTCTCTCACCACAGCGGATTCCTGCTACTGTAACTCCATCACTACTGATGTCTCCAATGGTGTTTAGTCAGTCTGCTTTAGCACCACCAAAACCAAATGAAAGTGGATGGCTGCCAGCAGTAAACCAAGAAGCTATTCCAAGTTCAACCAATCTTCTCCTGCCTATGCAGAACCCAGAACAACCCACTGCGAGCAGCAATCCATTGACAAAGCTGCAGCTACAGGAGACATTGTTGCATCTTATCCAGGTAGAACATCATTTTCATTTGCCTGTCTCTTTCTTGGTAACTATTTTTATTTTACAAATATTTTATTAGCACCAAGGCCCTAGACCCATTTATGGGGGCGCTGACCACAGTTGTTATTTGGTTCAGGGCATGGGCAGGTCAGATGAAGTGTATCAACACCTCCCCATAGTCTGTTATGAATATGGAACTCTGGAGTAGATGTATGTCCAAAAGCTGCTCAGGTTGCCAACCTGATGAAGTAAGTTACAGCTACATTTTGATTGGGGTGGTATTATCTGCATTTCCCTTAAGATACTCCAAACTGCATTTAAGCCTATCAAAAACCCTATGAGACTTAGGATGATAGTGTGTGACATACTTGAAACTCATTCATGAGCTTCATAAATCAGCATGAACCTCAATTCAGGTTTTCTAGTACTCCAGCTGCTGTATTATAGAACTTTTGGTATGGTTAAGTACTAACATCAAAAAGTTGAAAATATAAGACAACTTGCCCATTGTTTTTATTAACAAATTATATGCATTTTTCCTCAGAATGATGACAACTTCCTAAACATCATATATGATGCTTACCTTGTCAGCGTGAAAAAAGCAGCCCTGAAAAAGCCTAAGTGAAGCCGATTTTTTAAATTAAATGTATGTGATGTGCCGCATTTGCTTTTTTAAAAAAATTATTATAATCACAGGAAATAAATTCTTCAGCCTTCTGCAGACTTTTAATTGATGCTCATTGACAAGTATGTGCTGTGCTAAGAAATTAAGTGAGTGGGAACTAATAGAATTAGTAGTGCCTTTCTGGATGTGCAATGGGGGAATCACAGTATAAAGACAAAATTAAAATACTTTATAATATTTTTCTTAATATGCTGTATACCAGCTTGTATAAGACCAATGTTTTCTGCTTAGTGCTCTCATCCTTATGTGGGGAGTGGGGGTGGGAGTGTTTAAACACATGTTGGATATTGGTCATCCCAGCTCCTTAGTGGGATTTGAGAAGTGGAAATTCTCAGCACTATTTACAAAACATGGTATTCATTGCTGACCACCAGGTGGCAAGCTAGGACTGCTGTTTAGAAATACAAAGCAACTATGAGAGCCTTGGTTGGAGACAGATTTCTAAGTGTCAGGATAGAGCTGTTGATGCTTGTAATTTGCCCACTATTATCTCTGTTCACAGGTGTTACAGCTTTCTCAGAAACCTACAAAACCATTTTGACCAGAGATGGCAGCAGGAAAAAAGAGTGCACACATAATGGGCAATGTTGCCTCTTTCTTATAACCTCCAATTCTGAAAAAAAATACCAGTCTCTATCCATTGGAATGTGCCAGCAAGAGAACTGCTTTTCATACTAGTTTTTTAATGTCATGCTTTAACACAGATCAGCTGCATCTGAAAAGAGAAATTGGGGATCGTCAGACCAAAGGTTGGTTGCAAGACTTGCATCTGCCAAGAATCTGAGAGGACTTGGCGTACCTAGTTCTTTTCTTAGAGAGAAACATGTGTTAATTCTTCCTCCACTATGTTTTTGAGAGCAAATCTGCCTTTTAAAAGTACTTGGACGAGAGCTGCAATTCAGAGAAAATTAGGCACAAAAATGTCCATTAAAATCAATGTGCCCTGTTAAGATTCCCTTGTTCATGGGATTGTGCTCCCTACAATGTAGCCCCAGTTTACCTATTATCTGCTAACTATGAAAGATGCAAATTGTCTTTTTTAAAAACTCTTTTGTAAACACATATTTTTCTATTTTGTCACCTGAATATTCATACCAACAGATGATGAAATTATAGTCCTTAGAAAATAGTATTTTATTTCTAGGTGTTCTTGCCCTTTGATGTAGACACAGGCTAGCACCAGGCCGCAGTATTTCTGTGTGCTTCTAGGGGATGGCTTCATCATTTTTAAGTATTCTGTTAACAGTAGTAAAAATAATAAATAGTTTCATTTTCACTGTGTTGTTCTGTGAGCAGATGGGTGATGGTTTCAATGATCCATTTGTAAAGAAAATAAAATGGATTACACAGATTGTGTTTTGGATTTATCTTATTGCCACAAGGGCTAAAATATTGTGGACTTGGTTATATGCTTTTCAGGTTTTGCAGTTTTAAGATTTGAATTTAACTTGCTTCAAACATGCATGTAATTTAAGTACAGCAGAAGTACTTTACATTGCATCAGTACAAGGCAGTTTAGAATCACATGAGAAGCAGCAATTTGAAATGTAGCATTCTTAGTTTAGATTTGTCAAATAGAATTATGCACCTGCTTTATCAATTGTATACTATTTGCCTACAGAGTTCATTGTCCTAGTAAAAGAAAAATAATTCTATCAAGAATAGTATCCTGCTCCAAGAAGATAATCTGAATTGCTATTAAGGACAGATTCTCAAGAAGGTTTGTAATGTTTAATTCGATAGAGGGAAGTGAAATAGAAGCAGGAAAAATAAGAGGAAGAGTATCCATTTATTTCAGAATCTTACTTAGGATTAATTAGAATAAAGGATGCAGTTTAGGGGATCAAGCCTGTCCCAAAGGCGTCTGGGAAAGGAACAGTTATGAGGAGGGTTTTAAAGGAAAGGTGTGACAATGCACAAAGCACTGTGGGATTCAGTGTTAGGGACAACAAAGGGCAGAGCCATTTGAGGGAGGAGGAGACCTTTGGATGGCAGAGAACATAGAAGAAGAGTCATAGACTGGAATGCTTTGGGATGCAAGTGTTGAGAGACAAGGGCGGCAAGACTACAGAGGGGTTTGAAACTTAAGGACAAGAAACATGTAAAGTTTCTGGGATAATCTGACCTAAGTAAGTTCAACTTGTGCAGGCATAATGCTGGGAATATGTCATAGGAAGAAACTGCAGGTATTTCAGCTCATCAAGAAGCCCCTTCTGGAATACCAGGAAATTGCCTTAGTCAAGTCAGGAAGTCTGATAATCAACAAACTCTCATATGCCACCTCTCCCTATATAACCTCTTGGAGCTGCTCATTTCCTCAGTTTGAGCACTACATCTTGAAGGCTTCACCAGGCACCATTCTTCAGATCTGGACCTTTATGCAACAGCCTCTGTGTTTCCAAGTGCTTGATGCTGATGACAACAGCAGTGTCTCATCCCTGCAACAACCCGGGGGGGTGGGTATAGTCTACTGTCATTAGGCCCAGAACAAAATGTGTGTTAACACAAAGGGGAAAAGAAGATAATGTTGTAATATGGTGCTTGCCAAATGGATATATTCAGTATTTACCAGCCCTAATTTCCATTCATTTCCTGGTTGTTAATTTGTTTTTTCATGTAGAAACCTACAGCAAAAAAAAAAAAAAAAACTGTTTCAAATCAGTATGTGACATTCAATGCATTTTCACCACTGCCAACAACTCTCTGCCCCATGTTTTCCTTCTTTAAAGCTCTCTTGTTTGTATACTCCATTCACCCCTCTCTGGCCTAGGGATAAACAAAACTGTAATCCCATGGAAATATTACTCAAACATTTTAGATAGATTATAGAATCCAGACTTCTGAGAAACTCTGCTTTCTTTAATAAACAGAAGCAGGTTTCCAACCCATCATAACTGTAACAAATGAACATACTTGTCAATTCCTGTTAAAATCTAAAAAAATGTTAGGGCACATCAGGAGGAAGAGTAGTGACATAGGAAACTGCCTTATATCATGTTGGAGAATTCCTCCATCTAGGTTACTGTTTTCTGCCTTGACTAGCATTGGTTCTCCAGGGTCTCAAGTCATTCAGGAATCTTCCTTATAGCTGCTTCCTGATCATTTTAGCCAGAACCACTAGACATTAAAACTGAGCCCTGCTGAGTGTAAAGTATTTCCCTGAGGTATTGCCCCCTTCAGAGTAGAGTAGAATAGATATTATCTGGAGTCAGGAAAAGAGTCTGCAGGGTTCCAAACTGTCCCTCATTTTCTAACATGTATGCTGTAGTGCATAATTATTGTGCGTGCCAATAGAGAAAATGGCAAGGTGGTCTTCATGAGCCTCTGAAACACCAGCTGCTTTTCCTTTTTAGTCTCCTAGCCACCTTGCCAGGGATATTTGTCTATTCTAAATATCTACAAAGCAAGTGGCACATGAAAAGGGCAGATTTTTATATACTCACGGCAGAATCTATTATATAACTGCTTTTTTTCAGGAAAACTTTTCTAACAGTTCCTGATTTTCAGACTTCATACAAAAATAAAAATGAAAGGCGTGCTTGAGGAACATGAAAGTTATTTCAGAAGTACTCGAGTCTTGGTTGAATGTATGAATTCTGATGGACATGCCTGCTGAATACACCTGATTGCAGAAACGTGTCCTTGAAGGTTATGTCAGAAGATCCTGTTGTTTAGAAAAAACAAATCTATATTTCTCGTATCATTTTATATACTTCATAACAAAATAATATAATCTGGCTCCATACAGCTCTCCATGTCACATTTACCTTTTTGTATATCATTACAAGTATTAATAATAATTAAGAAATTTATTCAGACAAGTCATAAAGGAAAAAGCTAAGCATGGTTTTGAACCCCATTTCCTGAACTTGGGATGCAATTGTCTTCTCTATATTAGCATTCTGTTAAGTACTGATGTGTGTCTCAAACTAGGTCTTTTAGTATCTTGCCTCCTGCATCAACTGCGATCTGGCCCCTCAAGTAGCTAGATAGACTTAAGTTAATGAGGCCACACCAAGCCCTATAAAATCTTTCCTTCCAGGCCATGTTTGTCTGAACAACTAGCAGCACTGAACAGTGCTGATTGCCCTGCTTCCTGATCTTGTGCCTGATAGTGATACTACCTCTTCCCTCTAGTCTATTTTAGCCTTGCCTATCAGCAGCCTTTCACATCACAAGGTCTTAGACTTGACAATTTTTTGCTCATGATTGCAGAGGAATTTTGAAAACTGGGAAGTCTGGTGACATGAGATTAGTCTAATTTCAGATGATAAGGTTTACTTCTTGGGTTGAGGGGGATGATTAAGTAATTTTTATTTGGTTAATATCTTGATCTTAACAGTCACATAGAATGTCAGTGCTTTTCTGTCACATTTCCTGCAATATTTTGTACATATTAAACTACACTGAGAAGATGGTACTAAAATGTCAGTGAAGTATTAAAAGAAGATACCTGATTTTAATTCTGTTTCCATCTGCATATTTACAATTCAAATATACTCAGTGAAAACATGATCTCACCCTGTATATTTTCCATATAAATTTTTAGCCAGGTTTTGTGTCTCATATACTCATTGCTTTATTTTGATTTGTGTAGTTTGATCATCATTGCTTTTCTGCTTCTGAACATAAATTTTAGACTTCAGACTGAGGCATCTAGATTTAGATGTCAGCATGTATGGCTTTATTATGACTGACTTCAGGTTCTAACCTATAAATTCATAGTACCTAACCTCACCTGTGTATTTTAAAGAAGGTGCAAGTTTTAAATTCTATGTTTTATAGTTCACAAAAACTTATTAAAACGAGCAGCAGATAAATTGACCCTACAGCTGCCAAAATGCATGAGGCAGACATAATAGTCTTACTCAGATTATTGGGCTTGCATGCTTTCTGCTCTGCTCCGCTCTGCTCTGCTGGAGGCAATTGGAAGCTTTTGTTCCTAGTTTATATTAACCTTAGTTTAGCACAACTTTGAAGCTGGATAAACTGTGATTAGTAATAACAAATTTTAAAAGCTTTAAATAAACTACAGTTCAGAAACAAGCCAACTTTGGACCTCAGTTTATTATTATTTATTTAAAACATTTTTATGCCACCCCCATCGCAACAAAGCCTCGGGGCGGCTCACAAGAACAAAATATACAAATATAACAAATTATACAATAAAAATATTAAAACCCGGTGCATCTTGGCTTAAAAGATTTAAAAACCTATAAATAACCAATAAACTAACAATTAAAATAAGTTTTAAATAAAAAGGTCTTAGCCTGGCGCCGAAAAACAAATAACAACAGCACCAGGCGGACCTCTCTGGGGAGCACATTCCATGGATGCAGTCTTATATAGATGTATTATACAGTCTTCTTTCAATAAACCATAATTAAAATTAATCTGAGTTTAGGGTTCAAATATTACACTGATCTGTGGCTAATTTATAATGGGAGTAAAACCTTCTGATCCACTGTACCCATGTCATACATGGGGGTAGGAACTCGTGAACCCAACACTCATATATGTAGTAATTAACCATATTTTACCATTATATTTGAACTGGGCTAATGTAGCCCCTTCTACTGATCCTAGGTGACCCTATGACCACTTGCTACAATGGTCTTGCTTCTTGCATAGATTGAGGCAATAGGAGAATGTGAACAGGGATATTTACCTAATATTCTACCTAGAGTATTTTAATTTTGCGTGTTCTACATAATAGCTGTTAGATTGCTGCAGTCACAACCAGTCAAAACAGCACAGAGAAGTATGTAGGAGGGGAACTTCTTTAGTAAACATGCCAGATTTGGCATAAGGATTCTTCATTGCCAGCTACTAATCTAGAAGTGAATTATATCAGAGAAGCGAGAAAGAACCAGATTTTTTTTAGTTTTTATGAAAGAAACTGTTGAAAGTTGTCTTCTCCCTGTTACACTCTCACAACTGTTCTGGCACAGTCTTTTTGATTGTACCACCTGAGCACCAGTTTCAAAATGTGAGCATATATTGAAAGGTGTTTTCAGTGGCTGTCTCACAATTGTAGACCATCCCTTAGACCAGCAATCACCACGTTTTTTGGACCTGTGGGCACAAACAGCACCATTACAAATGAGCTGCTATAGGGAGTGGATGGTCAATCACAAAAATGTTGGGAACACACCCTTAATGGTTCTGTGTGACCATTAATGCACACCTTGTGTTTGTAGTACTCTGGTTTCTCTCCCTGTGTCTCCTCTTCCTTTCTCCTCTTCTTCCCTTCAACCCCAGCTCCTCTCTCTCGTTCCCCACCATCACCTTCTTTGACCAATGGTTCTTGCTTCCTTTCAACCTCTGTAACTGTTCTTTCTCTCTTTACCC